TGGAGCCTTCTGTTGGAGCAGTAGCTTATCTGTTATTTTAGCTGACAGAAAGCGACTGGATCAGCTGATCAGGAAGGCCAGCTCTGTGATTGGGTGCCCTCTGGACTCAGTGCAGTAGGAGGGAAACAGACGGATCCTAACTAAAAGAACATCTCTGTTGGATAATGTCTCCCACCCCATGCATGAAGCTGGTGCTGAACTGGAGAGCTCCTTCAGTGACAGACTGCTGCATCCTAAATGCACCAGGGAGCGTTATCACAGATCCTTCCTCCCAGCAGCTGTAAGACTTTATAACCTCCACTGTTCCCAACAACCTTGATAAGTTGTAAATTCACGCAGATTTTACCTTTGTCAGTTAAATAACCTGCTGCTGTCATTTTGCACATCTCTGATGTTGCTGCTATTTTCAAATATCCATTATTGTTAAAATGTCCATAGTTTTTATATTGTTAAAACACTTTACAGTAGTTTATTTTTTAACTTTTAACTCCTCACTATTACGTTATTATAAATTTTTCTAAGGTCCATATTTGTGTGATTATTTTTTCTATAATCTTTTTGCTGCTGTAAACACCAGAATTTCCCCATTGTGGGACAATAATGGGATTTTCTATTCTGTTCTATTGTAGACTTGGGCAGATTTATTTAGTCATTTTGTATATACAAGTGTAAACAAAAAGAAATTTCGTTTAGAACAGCTCTAGACAATTTCTTAAAGTGCAGCCTTGATAAAGTAAGCAGCAGTTGTTGTTGAGCTGCTACTACTGCCTCCAGCTCCTGAAGCGCTCGCTTCTCCTGGTTCAGGGGAGGAAGAGGACGATGATGATGATGTTGTGATGGTGGTAGCCCCCTTGGAGAGTAGGATTGATGGAAGCGGGGGTCTGTCGGGATTTTTCTTTAGCTTCGCAGCTTCGCAGTTAGCCCCCCTCTGCAGCTTCGCTTTCTCCATCTTCCTCCTCCGTCCGTTATTTTTCGCAGCCGCCTCGCCGACATCCGTCCGCAGCACTCCGCAGCTCCCCAAACGGTCAAAAATGTCAGCATTCAAAATACCTTGTGACCATAAATGCAGGCCCAGTGTTTATATCGTTTTAAGAGGTATATTTAGTGAAATTGTCGAGAGGAGCTGGTCTTGAAGTGCCGCCATGGTAACCAAAAAAAAAAAAGGTTGCCCCTCGGTTTAAAGCTCTTCCTGTTTGGATGCCACCTCATGNTAGCCAGGATAGGAGAGATATGGTTATCCAGTTGTGTCATTGATTCTGCTGGGTTTTCCTTGGAAAGGGAAACCTTTGTTGTGAACTGGGGCTATTCTCTAATGTATAGCCCCAGTTTACAATTTATCCATCCATACATACATAGTGTATTACATAAATGTAGGGCTGAGGCAATTAATCGGATTAATGCTAATTAATCGATTATTTAAAAAAATCATGAACTAATTTAGTAATTGATTAATAATTAACTGGAGTATATTGACTCTAAAACACCCTTTAGCTGACAGAGTTGCCCACTTAGAGCAGGAATTAGACCAAGATTGTAAAAATATATATAAACATTTTCATTTAACATTAGAAAACGCATTTGTCTGTCAATCTGCTCTATCCAGAACTCTTCTAGTTGAAAATTTGTAGTTTAAACTGGTTTCATTTTGTAAAACGCCTTCTTAAAGGAACCTTTGGCCATCCGATCATTAATCAATTAATTGAAAAAATAATCGACAGATGAATCGATTTGTAAAATAATTGGAAATATCTAATAGGTTAATGTGATTAAGGATTTTTACCTGAATCAGTACAGCATGTTGTCATTGAGTGCATGTCTTTGAACCAGAAAGATAACAGCTGTAAGAAGCCATGTATGTAAAATTAGAATAAACTTTACAACTGAATATATTTTTAGAATTGGTATAATTAAATCATCAAGTTACTTTTTTTTTTTTTTAAGATAAAAAAAAACCCTTTAGAAAGCATCTATGTACTGTTTTTTTTTTCCTTTTGCTCTCCTGTTCACACTCCAATCCACTAAGTGGCAGTATTGCAACACCCTAGCGTGTTTACCAAAACATCTGTAGAAGAACCCGGTGGGCGTTAATGGCGGAGCACGGAAGCACAGCAGCTATGACTACAGCCTTAAAAGTCTTCAACAGGTTCCTGTATTAACAAAGATCCAAGCAAACGCATTGGGGAAGGTATTTATTCAGAACTAAGACCATGCACTCATGAACAATAGTCCATTAATTCGTATCGAATTATTTGGAGGCTAACGTTAGCCAACTAGCTGTCGGAGCTGCCTCGAAAATGGCTGTTGGGTTGTGTTTAATGCATGTATGTGCAGTGGAGGGGGTTATTTTCAGCAAGCGACGCTCGTATATTAATTGCTTTCATCGAAGTACTGGACGTGTTTTGCAGTGTACACAGATTAAAGTCAGTGCACCACACATTACAGTGTCTAACCGCTAGCTGCTGGCGAACAAGTTCCTGCTCTCGCGAGCTTTCAGGTTAGGTGCTGGTGAACCAGTCCCTGCTCTCGCGAGCTTTCATCTAGCTACTGCTGAACCAGCCTCTGCCCCTTAAAACAGTAGACCCCGCATCGACAGTTTTCTGCTATGAGCCCTGACGTGATTTGTAGTCGCCATCTTGGAGCGGTCAACAGCTCCCCTCAGTGTAATGTGTTGAGTAGGCACAGAATCAATTTTAATCAACTTTAACTCTTAATATTGAACTAAATTTCAAGTTTTTTTTGTTTTGTTTTTCTGAAAACAAATATTTAAATCATTTAAATATCCCTTTTGGGGTTAAGAGTAATATAATATTTTGATGGGAGGTATGCATGCTGCAAAGCACTGCCACTGTTACATTTTCATATATTCTTTTATTACTATATAAATAATGATATTTATACAGTTATATATATATATATATACCTGTATAAATATACTGCAAAAATGTCCAAAGCTGTATCTATTATTTATTCTTCAGATGCACAGTATTAGTATCGGTAATGTCTTACAAAGCACTGACTAGTACATAAAGTTATCCCTTGAGCTGTGGTACGATTCAAACAAAAACAGTGCTGAGGTACTCTCCTTCTGCTGGTTAGGATAGCAGGTCAACCTCCCCCACATGGCGCCCGTAAATCCTGCTGGCATCAGTCAATGTGGGGTCTACTCTTATATTATGTCTGTGTGTAGCGCTGGCTGCTCTGCAGATATCGGTGGACTGCTGAGCATGTATTCACACAGGGAGTGGCAGCAAAGGGGCTTTTTTTTCTGATGGTGAATGTCATGTTTCACCTGTGAACTCACTCACTATCAGGAAAACCTGCACTGAAGACTCAGTGGTTAGCAACCTGATCGTAGCGGGAGTGAATTGGACCGCTAACTGTTCCTGGAAGATAAAACATACATTCATCTGCTTATTGCTGCACTCTCATTTTCATCTCTATACTGAGTTTCTCCATTATTTATGGTGGTCCCCTCTCTATACGTTTGTTTCTCTAGGCTACCTACCTTGATTCACTCCCTAAATAATAAACACTTTAGTGTTTCTTAATAATGTGTTGAAATATTAATTTCTGCTAACTCTCTCCTACTTCTGCATTTGTTCCAACTAACTCCCAGAAATACGGAGCTGAGCTATTTTTAGCTCCGCCAGGTCAAGATTCTCCATTGCGATTTCTGGCTGGCTCATTGTTTATTCTGACACACGGGCATCATCGATGGACATCAAACACACTATTCAGTTAATTTTGATAGAAGAAAATGTAATTTTATCAGTTGTTATTTGTTAGCAGGTCTAAGTATTTTTGCTTTGCAACTGAACAAGAAAAACCGATTGAAATCTTTTTCAGAAAAGAAAAATCAGCTTTGAACGTTTACTGGAAGGTTCTCATAAGTGTTTATAAGAATGAATGCTGTCATCATGATACTCAGATGGAGCAGAACCCATCTTCTGGCTGAAAAAAAATATATATACATATGGAAAGATCCTGGAGAGATGCTAGAATAATAAACTTTAAATGTCAATCTGTGTAATTTAGAGATCTATACAGTTAGGAGCAGGCTGTCCTGAATGCAACGCTTGGTCGCTGCTCCTGCACTGCATTGCCTCCATAACGGCATGTTATCAGGCTCTGTGAGGTGTGTGGAGCCAGTGAAATCTAAAGCATTCAGGACAGCAGGCCTCAAGGACAAACATTCAAACCCAGTTTCCTCTTCAGATACTAGATCTTCCTGCTGAGACTCTGCTAATGGAATTTCACCTAAAACAGATCGTATATCACTAATGAAATTGTGTAAAAATAGATGAGTCTAGATGATTGTTTTACACCTGTGCTGTAGAAGCATTTGTTAATGAATTAGTTTAAAGTGGCTCATGGTCTCATCCCTCCTGGGAACACGGCTGGTGGTGGATGCATATCTACTCAGAGTTTGGGATTGGAAAGGCTGGATATGTGGTACAGTGTTTTATGATGTTGTAGTTTATATACGTGTGTTTGCAGAGGCACGTCATTTTGTGGAGGAAACCTTTCTCAGAATGTACAGGACTCTTGATCGTGATGTCATGGATCACTTTATTATCTGGATGTAAGCGTGCTTTTTGGCACTAGACGTGTCCAAGCAAACTGAAATATAAAACCCATCTGTTTTCTTTCCAGGTCTGATCTTAGTTCTAGATATTTAATATTTCTTTTAGTTTCAAACAGCAGACAGCCATGTATGTTAGTGTAAACATGTATGGCTTTGCATGTTTGATATTACTTCATATTTGCTCTGTTGTGTTTAGATGATGTAAAAAAAACGGTTGATTTCTATTTGTTGTCTGATTTTTCAAAGCACAGGGAAAGGTTGGTGAATAAAATAAAGTTGAGTCAGTTTATAGATTAGGCTAACAGTGTGCAGACATGGCTGGGAGGGTTCTTGATTTTAGTGTCACTAAAATAAGTCAGGATGTATCTAGATCACCTCAAACCAACTTAACTGTTCAGAAGGTTTAATGAGGAAAAACAAAGACTTTGCATGATGGCTGCTCTTGATATGAATAATTATAATAGTATATTTCTGCTTTCCACCTCAGCCTCTCTGTGCACAAAGACAGTAACGGTTTACTCCTTGCTCCCGCCCTGTGTTGGGAGCACAGAGCCACACTCTCCACCAGCGGCCCAGCCAGAGGGAACCATTTCATTTTTGGACCTGTGCTTGCTGCTCTCCGATTGGCTCAGATTGAGACTCAAACACAGATTGCTCTCCGGCAGATTGCTCTGCTAGCTTCCATCGTTTGTGGCCATCAGAGTGATCTTGCGGCAGTAGTACCTCTTAACCTGGCCCTGCTGGGTCTTTCTACTCGACAGCAGGTGTCGACGTTGGGGCTAGAAGTCACGACGAACGGACAGATTTCTGCCATCGCACAGCCACGTCTGTCTGCTGCCATGTTTCACCAGCAGCAGGGCCCTCAGCAGTTTCCAAACCCATCTAGACCTCCTCATCATCAGCCAAATGCAGGTCAGCATCCAAACCACCCCAACATGCAGGGAATGGGGTTCCAGTTTCCTCGTCCAAACCAACTCCCAGATGAGCTGGAGTCTGCCCTTGCTATCAGGGGCAGCAGAGATGTGGATCATCGCCAAATGGATCACATGAACCAGTCAAACCAGAATCAAGGTTCAGCCGCAGGGATGGGTCAACACGGAGGCTATGGTTCCCAACCGATGTTGCGTCCTGCTGATAATCAGCCTGGCCACCAGCAAGGAGTCGACTGGTCAAACTACCCACCTCCATCCGCGCTGTTCGCACCGACTCAGCACCCACCTCAGAGCAGCCAAGAGGGAACCAGACTACCCAACTGGAATCCTCCCATCGGCGACTCCCAGTCTCCTCAACCTCGACAGTTGCTTGGTGATGGAGGCAGGGCGGAAGGTCAGGGGATGTACACACCGGAGAGCGCAGGGAGCATCTTGGCTAGCTTTGGACTCTCTAATGACGACTTGGAAGTGCTGAGTCATTACCCAGACGATCAGTTAACCCCCGATACATTACCGTTCATACTCCGTGACATCCAGCTCAACAAGTCCGGCAAGAAGTCATCTTCAGCTTCGTCCTCATTATATCCTCCCAACATGCCTCCTCCTCATACCTCACAGTCCGCTGAAGTACCCAGCCTCCTCACTGTTACGCAGACGGCGGGCAAAGTTATTGACTATGGACATGCCAGCCGTGGAACAGAGGAAGGCAGCACTAGAGAGACTTTTAAAAGAGAGCAACTCTCTAAAGTGGATAAAACAGAAAGACGTCAAATCTGTTTAGACCCCAAAGAGCCAAGCAAACATGGAGACCAGGACTATCGCAGGGCAAACTGCGAGAAACGCAAGAGTAGCCGATCGCCGGCAAGAGATTTCGCACCTTTGCCTAAATCTCACAACTTAGACAGAGACTATCGGCGAGTGGAGTCTAGGCGAAGGTCGTCGTCGGAAACCAGGAGCGAAGCGTCCTCCAGACGCTCTCCGTCGTCGTCTTCTGCTTCAAGGCAGCATGGCGGTAGCAAGAAGTTACCCACCCCTACCATGATAAGTGATTTCGCAGCGATGTCTCCAAAGGTGTATCCCCATACCTGCTCACTGTGTCACATTCAGTGTGACCAGGAAAAGGTGAGTGTTGCCATGTCGTCATTCTTATCTCCACAGTATTCATTTAAGATAATTCATTATAGATTTACTACCTCCTTATATTGGCCAGGTTTATGTTTTTTTACCTTAACACCCACATTCAATGACCTCAGTCAGGCCTGCCCAGAGTCAGCTTCCAGCACCGCTGTGCTGCAGGTTTTCAGCGTTTTCCCTGCTTCAGCAGCAGCCTGTTAATCAGCCATCAATGGGAACCAGCTGTGCTGAGGCAGGGATACCGAGGCCGTTTCTCAATATGTGAACTTCTACGTGTTCGTGTGCTCGTGAAATGCCATCAGCCTCACACCCAGCACCGAGAACAAACAAAGTCTCCGGATGGTGTTCTCGCCCCTCCCTCTTTACCCAGCATGCATCAGAGCAGACTTGCGCAGACTGACAGCTGTCCNTGGAACGGACGAATGGGTCCAACCCTTTGGAATGGAGGTCGTTTGGCTTGTTTATTAACCTGCAATGCCCCATACCTTTCTATGGGCGTATCTCAATTCACTAGAACACGAGTACAGACTCGTGTTCTCGCCAAGTATGTTCTTGAGAAGAACGCAGAAAAGTGTGGACTCTGGGAGAACGGGATAAATCTGGGTCAATTGGAACAAAAGCGTACTGATGACATCACCACATTTAAAGCTAGTCTATAGCTGCATTTCAGCTCCTGTTATTAACAGTCTCTAGATAATAATAGATTATTACTTCTTTCATTTAGTGGGCGAATAATTAACACATTCAGATAAACAAATATCAAAGGAACACTTTTCTAAATAAAACAAAAAAATTGCCATCATAGCCAGCGGTACTTCACACTAGAGCAGGGAATATTAGCCCGAACCCGACGGGACCCGAGAGGTCCTGCCGGGTTCGGGTGGGTTCGGGCTGTACTTTTTATTATTTCATTCGGGCCGGGCCGGGCTCGGGCTTTAAACCGTTATATGCGCGGCAAATAAATTATCATGTGATAACGTTCCATCTATACGCGATGAATGCAAAATGGATGTTACAGAAGTGAAACGGAGATTAGCCCTTAATGCGCACAATTGAAAAATGTCGGGCTGCAAACGGGTCGGGCTCTACGAAGCTGTCAATCATAACGGGCCGGCCGACTCGGGTCGGTTTCGGGCTGACTTTCAAGGCCCGTTTCATGCTCTACTTCACACACGGCTATGCAGAGAGAGGGCCGCTGCAGACGGGCTAACAGTAGCCCTGGCCGCTGCAGACGGGTTAATGTTAGCCCTGGCCCCTGCAGATGGGCTAACGTTAGCCCTGGCCACTGCAGACGGGCTAACGGTAGCCCTGGCCGCTGCAGATGGGCTAACGTTAGCCCTGGCCGCTGCAGACGGGCTAACGTTATCCCAGGCCCCTGCAGATGGGCTAACGTTAGCCCTGGCCCCTGCAGATGGGCTAACGTTAGCCCTGGCCGCTGCAGACGGGCTAACGGTAGCCCTGGCCCCTGCAGATGGGCTAACGTTAGCCCTGGCCGCTGCAGACGGGCTAACGGTAGCCCTGGCCCCTGCAGATGGGCTAACGTTAGCCCTGGCC